ATCTCCACACAGGGCTGGATCTCACAAACTGTGAGATCATGACCCGAGCCCAAATCAAGAATCAGATGCTTAACTAACTGAGCCACCCAGGCACGCTTAGGCTACTTTTAAACAAGGATAAACTCTTTAGTTCTTAAGATGTGCAGGAGGTATATTCATAAGTTCTCTAACTACTTATTTATTTTTTTTGTCAGAAAACATTTTTAATCATACTGTCTTTTATAAGTTGCAATGCATTAAAATTAGCTTATTTTTTTGATTATTTTATTTATTGTTTTTTTTTTTTTTTTACAAATAGTTTATTGTCAAATTGGTTTCCACTTAACACCCAGTGCTCATCCCCACAAGTGTCCTCCTCCATGCCCATCCCTCCTCCCCCCACATCCATCAGTCCTCAGTTTTTGTCAGCATTCAAGAGTCTCTCATGGTTTGCCTCTCTCCCTTTCCCCCACCATTTCCCCCCTTCTTCTCCCCCTTGTTCTTCAGTTAAGTTCCTCCTAATCCTCCTTTATGTGCAAACATATGATATCTGTCCTTCTCTGCCTGACTTATTTCGCTCAGCATAACACCCTCAAGGCCCCATCCATGTTGCTACACATGGCCAGATTTCATTGTTTCTCATTGCCACGTAGTATTCCATGGTATAGATAAACCACATCTTCTTGATCCATTCGTCCGTTGATGGACACAGGCTCTTTCCATGTTTTGGCTACTGTGGAGAGTGCTGCTATGAACATTGGGGTACATGTGCTCCTATGCCTCAGCATTTCTGTATCCCTTGGGTAAATCCCTAGCAGTGCTATCGCTGGGTCATAGGGGAGTTCTATTGTTAGTTTCCTGAGGAACCTCCACACTGTTTTCCAGAGGGGCTGTACCAGTTTACATTCCCACCAACAGTGTAGGAGGGTGCCCGTTTCTCCACATCCTCGCCAGCATCTAGAGTTCTCTGATTTGCTCATTTTAGCCACTCTGACTGGCGTGAGGTGGTATCTCAGTGTGGTTTTGATTTGTATTTCCCTGATGAGGAGGGATGCTGAGCATCGTTTCATGTGTCTGTTGGCCATCTGGATGTCCTCTTTGGAGAAGTGTCTGTTCATGTCTTCTGCCCATTTCTTCACTGGGTTGTTTGTTTTTCGGGCGTGTAGTTTGGTGAGTTCCTTATAGATTCTGGATATTAACCCTTTATCTGATATGTCATTTGCAACTATCTTTTCCCATTCCGTTGGTTGCCTATTAATTTTCTGGGTTGTTTCCTTGGCTGTGCAGAAGCTTTTAATCTTGATGAGGTCCCAACAGTTTATTTTTGCTCTTGATTCCCTTGCTTTTGGGGATGTGTCAAGTAAGAAGTTGCTGCGGTGGAGGTCAAGGAGGTTGTTTCCTGCTTTCTCCTCTAGGGTGTTGATAGTTTCCTGTCTCACGTTCAGGTCCTTTATCCATTTTGAGTTGATTTTTGTGCATGGTGTGAGAAAATGATCTAGTTTCATTCTTCTGCATGTTGCTGTCCAGTTCTCCCAACACCATCTGTTAAAAAGGCTGTCTTTTTTCCATTGGATATTCTTTCCTGCTTTGTCAAAGATCAGTTGGCTGTATACTTTTGGGTCCACTTCTGAGTTCTCAATTCTGTTCCATTGGTCTATGTGTCTGTTTTTGTGCCAATACCATACTGTCTTGAGGATGACAGCTTTGTAGTAGAGGCTGAAGTCTGGGATGGTGATACCTCCCGTTTTGGTTTTATTTTTCAGTATTACTTTGGCTATTCGGGGTCTTTTGTGGTTCCATACAAATTTTTGGATAGTTTGTTCTAGTTTTGAGAAGTATGCTGGTGCAATTTTGATTGGAATTGCATTGAATGTGTAGAGTGCTTTAGGTAGTAATGACATCTTAACTATATTTATTCTTCCTATCCATGAGCATGGAATGTTTTTCCATTTCTTTGTGTCTTCTTCAATTTCCTTCATAAGTTTTCTATAGTTTTCATCATACAGATCTCTTGTATCCTTGGTTAGGTTTATTCCGAGGTATTTTATGGTTTTTTGTGCAATTGTGAATGGGATCAGTTTCTTGATTTCTCTTTCTGTTGCTTCATTATTGGTGTATAAAAATGCAACCGATTTCTGTACGTTGATTTTGTACCCTGCAACTTGGCTGAATTCTTGGATCAGTTCTAGTAGGCTTCTGGTGGAGTCTGTCGGGTTTTCTATGTAGAGTATCATGTCATCTGCGAAGAGTGAAAGTTTGACTTCCTCTTTGCCAATTCTGATGCCTTTGATTTCCTTTTGTTGTCTGATGGCTGATGCTAGGACTTCCAGCACTATGTTAAACAACAGTGGTGAGAGTGGACATCCCTGTCGTGTTCCTGATCTCAGGGGGAAAGCTCTCAGTTTTTCCCCGTTGAGGATGATGTTAGCTGAAGGCTTCTCATAGATGGCTTTGATGATGTTTAAGTAGGTTCCTTCTATCCCAACTTTCTCGAGAGTCTTTATTAAGAAGGGATGCTGTATTTTGTCAAATGCTTTTTCTGCATCTATTGACAGGATCATATGGTTTTTATCTTTTCTTTTATTGATGTGATGTATCACATTGATTGATTTGCGAATGTTGAACCAGCCCTGTAACCCAGGAATGAATCCCACTTGATCTTGGTGGATGATTCTTTTTATGTGCTGCTGGATTTGATTTGCAAGGATCTTATTGATCTAACTACTTATTTAAAATGGACATCCTATTCTCAACATGTCAAATATTTATAGTTTGTGTTTCTCTATGTCGTTGCTATCCAGTATGGTGGCTGTATGTGCCTATTGGAAGTCTAAATTAATTAAAATTAAATAAAATGTAAACTTCCATTCCTCAGTCTCACTAGCCACAGCTCATGTGCTCAATATTCATATGTGGCTAATGCCTACCGTATTAGACAATACAGGTCTAGAAGATCTCCATCATCAGAGAAAGTTCTATTGGATGTCATTGGAATAGCTGGTATTTTTCTAACTAGAATCTCAGGTCCTTTTGTCCCAGGACTCTAGGGTATCATATGTGGAAAACAGAAAATACAACAAAAGAGTTCAAAATTTCTCTCTTGTGTTTTTAAATAGCAAGTTTTAGATAATAAAAAATTATGTACTTTGTCCTTCATTGCTTGCTTGAGCCCAGGGCTCAAAAATCTTTGACAATTCTTCCCTAGTTAATTCATAGCCAATAATAGCCTAGTGAAATTTTAATACAAAGATGGAATTCCAAACTAAAGAGAAGCTTATGGGGAGAAGAAATTTCTAGACGCCGTAGATTTTTTTTTATTATTATTTTGAAGAATGGAACATGGCTTGTAGAGTGAAATCTTTGAGAACCCACCATTTAGCTAATTTTTGGCAGGGAATGTTAAAGGAAATCATGCATAAAATTTACAGAATCATACATATATAAAACTAAAGATGTCGCATGGTTTGCCGTGGCAGAAGAGGAACAGAATAGTTAATTATCTAAGTTGATGAACATTTTGCTCCATGCCCTCTGTTCCTTATGAAAAGTTAAAATAGAATCACAATCAGTTGTTTTTCTTTGGAAAGCTGGCCAAGCTTTTTAGAAAGTAATAATGGTATTTGATCTAAGCTGTTTTAAGTTATTTCATGGTTTAAGGATATGAAACCTTGTATTCACATCATTTTAATATACATTTATAGAAAGCAGGCAAAGACTTTGTATGTGCAGAAGCCTGTGTGAACACAAGTAGAAATGGAAAGTCCACAGCTTTAAGTTAGGCCCTTAAAAAGTAGGCTTGGTGGTAAGGATATTTGTTCCTTTCTTTGCTTGTACTTCTGAAACTAAGCTGACCTCCTTAGAGTGGAAATGAATCTCAGCCTAAACACTCAACTGTTTAAAAAGAAAAATGAAAACAAAAGTTTATTTTCAATAACTCAGTTGTTACTCTAATCCCATTTCCAACAAGTTTTAGGGAAGATTTCCATCTCTGTTACTCACTCCTGGAGTTTCCCAGGAGCCTCCAGAGAATTGCCAGTGTCCCAGACCTTGAAGCATGCTGAGACCTCAATGTGAGCAAGGGCACTGGGCATTCAGTGCCCCGAGGCATAGGCCTTGCAGGTGGTGTGGTCACCTCAGAGCCCAAAGGGCTGTTGTACCTTGACCACAGTTCATAAACCCCTGAGTTCACAGGCTCCTTTTCCTCATGTGGAGGCTCTGATGACTTTCAGAGTGGTTTTTGCTTATTTGTTTTAATTTAAACCAGTTAGTAAACTTTCAAAATCAGAAAAATTACACATCAAATGACTAATGTTCACAAAGTAAAAGGTTTGTCAACTTCAGGTCATGGTTCCTGCATTATCTGCTGCCTGGCACAGATTAGCGACTCGTCACCCTGGCCTGGTTCTTCTAAGACACCATCCTCCCTCCTGTGTCACCAGTTAGTCCATTTCACCCATTTCCTCTACTTGATTGGCCTCTGAATTGCAGCCCTAAGTTGATGTCACGTTAACACAGGGGCTCTGTCCTTTGTGATCAGCAATCACCTGCAATGGTCACTGGTAGTCACAGGCTATAGGTTTCATGAAGGATCTTGTAACAACTGGGTGAGGTAGCTCCCACTCAGTCAAGGGAAATTTTCCAGAAAAAGGGGGTAGCCATGATCAACAGGCACGTTGGAGCATTGGGATACCAGCTTGGTTAAGGGAATCTGTGTGGGGCACCAACAGACTATAATATGAAATGTCTTTTACTGAAGAAGAAAGAATAGAGAAATTATTTCCAAGGGGAGACTTTGTTTAATCATAAACATTTTGTGGTAACTATTTGTTAGTCATTTATATTGTGTTTAGTCACAATTAAGATATATATTCTTGTGTTTTCAGTTCTTAGAACCATGTAAATACTTGAGACCACAACTGACTTGATTTTGAATGTGATGTACATGAGAACATGTGTACCTCTGTGTGAGTGTCTAGAGAGAAGCTACGTTCTTGAATGTAACTAGTGTTTCTTATATTTAGCACCAACCCAACTGAGGCCTCCTGTGGTCGAAGGAATCAACAGCACAACCATCCGTGTTCGATGGCTCACCCCTGAAGAACTGAATGGACCCCTTCCTACATATCAGCTAGAAAGGAGAGAGTCATCTCTCCCAGCTCCAACTGCCACGATGATGAAAGGAATCCGTTTAATAGGGAACGGATATTATAAATTTCCCAGCTCCACACACCCGGTCAATACAGACTTTACTGGTAAGTATATTTGACATCACTTTATTGAACAGACACTAAGCTCCCAGCTGTTTCTTATTATTTTGATATCCCTTCACAATGAATTTTTGCTATGTTTGTCTATAGAAATACTAATTCAGACCTTTTATAACTTCAACTTGATTGTGTCAGTATGTCCATCTTGTTAATATTCTGGGGGGGGGAGGGGAAGTGAGTATGAAGAGGAATGAAAAGAAAAATATAGGTGTGGAAAGATAGCTTTAAGTATATGCTGGAAATGGCTCTCAGACACCACTTACCAGAATGTGTTCCTCAGAATACTTCATGTGCTTACGGAGAGAGAGAGAGAGAGAGAGAGAGAGAGAGAGAGAGAGTGAGTTAGTTAGTTCTATGGGCAGATGGGTTTGAGAAATGTTCCATGATGCTAGAGATTCTCAGTACTCATCAAGTTATTAAAGCCTCTAAAAGGAATTATAAGAAAATTTTCTAACTTTGCCTAGCCCAACATTCCTGGTCCTTATTTGGTACTTTTTTAAACATGATAACTATCAATAGAGTTTGTGGAGAGCATTATGGGAAAAACCAATTGCAGGGAAACATACCTTCTATGGGTAAGTGAGGCACTTGCTTAAGGCACACAATTTTAAGGCACAAAAAAAACAACCTCAGGAATCAACAGAAGCAATGTTTTCGTACAGTACTTTTAAAAGTGAAAATTAATGCCAAAACATTCCTTATAGAAGTCCAAATTTTGAAATGAAGACTGGATCCATCCCTTTCTTGCATGAGCCTGTAACCCTGCCTCACTGGCCTCACCCAACTCCTGGATGCTGCTCCTACAATATTCCAGGCGTCCTGTTAGCTTCCTGAATTAGAGTTTGTAAAAGCTCTATTTCACTACAATGATAGGAAATTGTAACTATTTACGTTACATACTCCACTTTCCCAATTAAAAAAAATTATAAAGAATAAGGTACATATGATTCTGTAAACTCATAACGATGTTCATTTAACCCACAAGAAAGTAGGTTTGGAGCAACCAGCCTTTAAAAGGTTGCATATATTGAGGACAATGAAATGGAATTTCAGCTGTAGCTGTAAAATGTGGCTCAAATATTATAGCTTTATTTAACTTGTAAAACTTTACTTATTTTTCAGAGAGGGCACGCGTAGGGGTGGGGCAGAGAGAGAGGGAGAGAGAATACGAAGTGGACTCTGCACTGTGCAGAGTCAGATGCAGGGCTCGAACCCATGAAACTGTGAGATCATGATCTGAGCCCAAATCGAGTGTCTGTCGCTTAACTGACTGAGCCACCCAAGCACCCCTATTGCTTTATTTTTATTTAAAATAGTCAATAGTTTGCTTTTAAGGGAGCCTGGATGTACGTTTATAATGAATAATGTTCTAACCAAGGTATATTGAGGTGAATACCTGCTTAACCACTGGCCTAGTACATCAAAATCATCACTGAATATTAGGAATTCAACCACTGAGATCTCATAAAATGTTCCACTTCTGCTTAATATTCATAAATGTCAAAGGAAGGAAAGAAAAGAAAAGAGAAAGATAAAATCTGGCAAAGAAGCTATGGATACAAAGTTAAAGAGCCTTTTCTCCAATGGAAATAGAAACTGCCTTCCTGGTCCAACATTTGGCACACGCTGTGTTTCTTCGAGGAAACAGCCTTCGTTTCCACTCAGCTGTCTGTCTGCTATAAGTGTGTCAGCTTGGATTTGCTGGCTAGCCAGCAGACAGATTTCTGATGGGATCACCTACTGTTGTTGCAGGGAAAGATAGAGTGACCCGTCCACCGTTAATAAATTTAGTCGTCTGCACGCTCTCCCTAGCCGGCCTTATACTCAGAGGTGCAAGGGCTCGGGGCAGATGTAGCGTCTGGGAAGTTTTCCAAATTCCTCTTTAAAAAAGTTAGGCCGTAAACACCGGCCTCACTAAGCAGGATCCTTCTGTCTATAACAAAGCCTCCAGCTGCACAGAAAATGTGTTTGGAGTACACATCATTTGAAGGACAAGGCGGGGAGATCACAATTTTGGCTCGAAGTGCTCCCCGGAGGTTTGGTGATTCCCAGAGAATAGGAAGTTCAGCCTGCAGGCACGTTCTGCGGCATGACTAGCTCCTTTTTATTAGCAGTTTCACCTTACTTTTAAGGTTCTCTTTAACTTTTAAACCAGGTTGGCTGTTGGCTTATATATTTACTTACATCCCCAAAGCCATCTAGGGATCACATTTTTTCCATAGCAATTGATTCCAGAATGTTCTTAGCAGCTAGATGTTTAACATCTGAATGAAATTATTTTAATGGGTTGAAGTGCTATATGTCAATTGGTGCTATCAACTCCTTTTCTATATAATTTATGAAGAATTTTATATCCTGAGGCAAATTTAATGAGCCAATTTTGGAAATCTCAAAAATGATTAATTGCATTTAGTAAGTGAATAATTGTAAGAACTAAGATGCTTTTATTTTGAATTATTTGTTTTAAAATATCAAACTCTAACTAAAATGACTCTGGAAATATGAATGGAGATATCCAATAATACTCAAAGACAAGTATACAGTTATTTGTATTATTGTGCATATGTTAAATATAAAAAAAATAAGTGAGATTTCACCCATTGATGACAAGACTTATAGCATGTTCCATAGTCATGAATGATGTATTAAAAGTCTCAGTACACATGATCTCATGATTGCAGCTCAAGGAAGGAATCTCTTATATAACGCACACCTTTCCCATATCTACTTTCAATATTTTTATTGCATAAGATATAATGAAAATACTTAAAATATATCAGTATATGTTCTAACATGTTGCTTAATATTGTAAATTATTTAGCTTTGTATTGTAAATTAACTCTATCAGAATTACTTCTGGGAAGAAAAATTATTCAGGTGCATCTTTTTTAGAATCAGTTTTTCCCTTTTCCTTTTGAATACAAATGTTCTTTCAAAAATCTAATCTCTAGGGGTGCCTGGGTGGTTCAGTCAGTTGAGCGTCCAACTTCCGCTCAGGTCATGATCTTGTAGCTCGTGGATTCGAGCCCCGTGTCAGGCTCTGTGTTGACAGCCTGGAGTCTGCTTTGGATTCTGTGTCTCCCTCTCTCTCTGCCCCTCTCCTGCTCACACTCTGTCTCTTACTCTCTCAAAAAATAAACATTAAAAAAATTGTTTAAAAAATCTAATCTCTAGGAAGGGTATATTACCAGTCATTTATATCATAGTATAAATTTAAGATCAGGTGTTAACTCCTCCACTTCTATTTGAGTAAGAGTGAGTGCTTTGGGAGCAAACTAATAAATTTCAGATCCAGGCTCCATTATGTATTAGCTACAGGTAATTATATACACCAATTAATCATTTTTGCGCCTTTTTTTCCTTTTCTTTAAAATTGGCATAATACTACTTATGATACTGATATCTAGAAGTAGGTGAAGATGAAAGGCAATAGCCACCTACTGAACTTTGTAGTGTCTGCCATGCAGACTACTTAAAAGTCTAAACATTAGCTATTCACTGTTACTCATTTAACAAATGTTTATTAAGTGTTTACCATGAGAGAGGCACTTTTTTAAGAGTCCTCTGAAATTTGTAAAATCAGTATTCTATTAATTCATCTGCTATTACACATATATGCATGCCTAAATGTTATATTGAAGGTATGAGTAACATGTAATTCCTATATTTAAATATGATTTTTAATTTTTTATTGAAAATAGTTAAATTAACCTGCCTAGTATTGACACATTGGATAAACATTTTTTCTGTGGATCTAATCATGCTCATCTATTAAATTAAGGATTGCGATAGATGACCAATGCCTCAAACTTCTCAAACTCCAAATCAAACACATATAGAATATTTAAGTAGCTTCAAAAATTCAAAAGAGAGATTATTACCAAGAAATCTATGAGTTTAAAAACAACCAGATCTTTATACAAATTGTTCAGTGATGATTTTTTCATATAGTATTATGTTCACAATTTATGATTAACATAAATTTATTTTTCTCTATTAATCTGAAAAATGTATGGGATATGTTAATTTATAGGGATAATTTAAGTGATATGGAGACAAATACTCAATATAAAATGGATATTCAGTTCTTGAGTTATGGCAGAATGTGTAAAGAAGAAGCAAATTCAATATAAGTTCATAATATTTTAACTAGAAAATCACGTAGACACTCATGGTAAAATATTCTTCTGGCCACATGAGGTTAACAGTACATTCTCCTTCCAAAGTGAGAGTACCAAATAGAACATTCTCTACCTTCTGCAGCTGTACGGGGTGATCACTGTGTCTTCAGATGGAAAAACTGCTCATTTTTTTTTCAGGAATGCAGAGTAAATCTACTTGATTTACACAAAGAATTTAGTCCTTTCCAGGCAGTGCTAGCAATCCAGAGGGAACCTGGTAAAAACAGCGAACTAAACTACTGCTCAGACTGGCATTCCAAAGGTGACCCTCTCTCCTTGTCACTTTTTCTTCCTGTTAGCAAAAACAGGCCCATGATCATTTGGGGGAAGGATTGACTATTGTCGTATCCAGATGCCAATCACACCAGCCTTTTAAACTGCTTTTACTGGTGACCCTGCCCAGAAATCAGGAACTGCCTTTGGGGAGATCTTTGTAGCAAACCACTGGGGAGATGAGCATACATGTGCACCTGGATGTAATTCCCTTTTATTTGTCTTCACGAGAAATGTGATTACTGATGTTGAGTATCTTGCAGATGAGAACTCTGTACACTTTCTTCATAATAATGCTGTTCAAGGACACTAAATGGTTGTCAGACATTTTTGTCTTGTGGCATTTGCCTTCCCCCAAATGACTGAACTAGAATGCTTTAGGCTAAAGAAATACAATTAATTATCAAGTTGTGAAGAGAGAAAGGCAACTCTCCGAATCAATATTCCTTAAAAGCATATATTTTATATATATTTTTACTCTATGATATATGTGCTTTATTATTATTACTATTTATTATTTTAGTGAGCTGAGACATTTAAGCACT